GCGCTCCCGATGGGCCGTCGTGCCCAGAGACGCGTGCCGATCTTCAGGGACCCCTGGGCGCTCTGAACCTCACGCCCCCTCAGAAGTACACATGCTACTATCAAGAGAATCCCAGGAGAAGGCCTGCTGAACCTCAAGGACCCGTTGAGAAAACCTGCCAAAATCGGACTATTCCGTCGCTCATTCTCTGGACTTTGAATCTTGCTACACTGGCTGTTCTTATGGCTTACTTGCAACTATGTTACACTGTTAAAACATAACGGCTCTCCTGTTTCTCGACTCTCCTCCTCAAAAGACTGAATCATGCGCGCCCCACACCAGCCCTGACGCCTCCATGCATCAGCGACACCTAGACTCGAGCCCGGGCTGACTCGGTGCCCGGGCTGAATCTCACACTTCGAAGGCTAGACTTACAGCGCCCGGAGACTGACTACAGTTGCGGAGGCATAGACAACATAGCAAGGGCCCGGCCATCGAGCTAAAACAGCACCGAGAACATGAAACTCCAGCCCGTCCGAGCAATGAAACGTGCGAGACTCTAACGAGGATGACGTGACTCGCTGGGCCCACGTGAAGTGGACCATGAGCAATACGGCACACGGAGACTTAGAGCCAACTCGCCCGGGCTGAACCTCACACCCCCGCCCCTCCATGACATTAACTACGGACCCGGGCTGCCGAACCTCTCCAAAGGCCTCGGCCCGGGCTGACTCGGCCCGGGCTGACTCGGCCCGGGCTGACTCGGCCCGGGCTGACTCGGCCCGGGCTGACTCGGCCCGGGCTGACTCGGCCTGGGCTGACTCGGCCCGGGCTGACTCGGCCCGGGCTGACTCGGCCCGGGCTGACTCGGCCCGGGCTGACTCGGCCCGGGCTGACTCGGCCCGGGCTGACTCGGCCCGGGCTGACTCGGCGGGCATTTGGTTTGGAATAATGTTTTGTAAACGCGAAAGAGGGTTGAGCCCGGTCAACTTTTCTACTGCGCATGCGGAATAAGGTGTCGAATTGAAAAAAGCGCCAATTTTTTCAGCATTTTTTCGCAAAGCTTGTGCTTTCTTTTAGACTTGAAGGTTAAGGTAAACGATTTCTGGACGAATCATTCTTCGATTTCTACATTCTAGAGCCGAACTTTTAAGGCACACAATTATAACAATGTTTGAAACTAGCAGAAATTTTGAAAATGCGAAAAATTCCACGTAAACGGAAGTTTCCATATTTTCTTTATCAAAACTACTATTGGGGGTCCGAAAATCTTTTGACCTGTTAAGCCGATTATCGTTGCTTTGCGGTTGTGTTCGCATGTCTCATTTACAATATCGCATGGCACATCCATGTATCCAATGCATGACTATGTTCATTCAAACAGGCTTATTCATCTTGAAGCTTTAAGTAACTTGACCCGGATTTCACTGTGGTTTACATGTGTACCTTGCAAGTGCGATCAGTAAAATTCCGTTTTCTACGGACTTACAACTCCTCTACATACAGGTACGAAAAAGCTATTTTGTACCCAAGGAACTAATTGAATTGCTCAAAAATTTGCACACGGTCAGGACAGATGTCGGGTAAGCAAAGTGTCTCAAATTTGTGTAGCTGGGAATCAGTTTACTGCAAACTATGTCATAATTCAATTAAACTAGAAATTATACTTGAAAAATTTAACTAATTAATAATCGACGTTTTGAGCATATCCCGTTATCAAATTAGTTTATTTATGTCATAATTCATTCTTAGAATCTCATGCAATGTATGACGGAATGGGGAATTATGTTGCAAGCAAAACAGGGGCTTGTCCCCAGGGATGGCGCCAGAAAAGAAATTTTTGGGGTGGGGTCAGAGTGCCGACAGTGAGTGAACCACCAGCAAAGATCCAATATAACACCATTTCCGCTGTGGTAATTCCAGTTCAAAAAATGAAAAAAAATGAAAAAAAAAATCAAAAAATGAAAAAAAAATAAAAAAATTAAGAATTGGAAGTCATGAAAGGTGGTTTGCAGATTTTGAAAGTTAGACTAAAGCCCAAAGCCTAAAGCCATTTTCAGTTAGCGCGACACTATCTTCTAAGATTTTACAGAGAAAGCAACTTCTCTTTCCAGCGTAGGAAAGGAGATTATTTTCGATTAAACACGCCATCTTCTGAAATTTAGCAAAATAATGACTTCATTCTCATCAAACGGTAATTTATGAATTTTTTGAAAGTTTTAAAGCGTCTCTTTGAAAAAATAAAGAGGACTTTAGCTCCTACTAGCCTAGTATGATGCCCGTACAATTATGCGTAATTATGGTCAGGCATTGAACATATGCTTATAAAACTATTGACTTTTCAGAAAGATATCTGACAACATCATTTGGAAAAATGGGTTCTAAAGGGTCCTCATGCCGCCTGTTTGTGCAAATTGATAATTTTGCAGATTGATGGGCTTCTTCTGTATGAGAAAGACACAGATTTTATTCAGTAACGAAAATTAACTAAGTTTGAGGAAAGATTGGAATACTTTAACAAGTTATTTTCAAAACATACGGCTTAATATTCCATTAATACTTGTAGGAGTTTCATATTTTCCAGGCTCTTTCTGTAGAATTCTAGGTTTGAGGTGTTTCTGCCAAGTTCCAAACAAGGAGAAAGGGGGGGGTGGTACGGCTGGTCATTAGTCAGGGGATAAAAAGCCGCGTTTGTCACTAGACACGACTTTTGAATAAAGTTGGACAAAATTTCTTTTTAGTACAAAACGCAGGAGTTTTAGCGCTTCAAATACAAAATCAAGATGCCTTTGAGTTCTTAGTTGAAATGCAAAATTAAATAGCCTGTCACAGGACGTTTAAAAATTGTTATCCTTTATCAATCCTAGAGCAGACTTGACTATTAAGGGATATTTGATGGTCCAAGGAAAGAGCCAGGGCCTATTTTAAGAAATTTTCAATACTGCACATTTTTCAGAAATTTTCAATACTGCACATTTATAATCATATTTTTTATAGGAAATTTTTTTGTTGCAATCAGTGGAAATCCCTGCAAACCCCAGGTATCTTAGCCAGGCAAGTGTAGCGAGGAAATTGCCCGAATTTTTAACACGTGTATAGGCCATGACGGAGAAATCACAAACAGATAGACGATAATTTACACAATCAATAATAGCATTTCAAAACAGCAACAAAACAAACAGAAGCTACAAAACCTGAATAGAAACAAAATCATTTATCTCTTGTAAACGGAGTCACTATCTCATGTTTTGTCTCGACAGTAAAACAAAAAGTTTTAATAGGCTCTTTATCTTTCTTTTAGTTAAGTTAAGCGAGCTTCTGCTAGATGCCCAGAGCATCATAGGGCACCTGATAAATTATTACTGAATGTTTTATCTTCATACATCGGAAAGATGTTTTATGTTTCATCGGAAATATCAAATTACGAAATTTACAGCAATGCTGACATTTACAGGAGATGTTTTGTTTTTGGTTCAGGGAATTTCGATTTGTTTTAAGTTTTGATAATAGATTCTTTTCGATGGTTATACGATAATTACAATACATGAACTCTATGACCCCGTTTACACTAGCACGGATCCAAATGGATCCGTACCCAAACTAGCACAGATAGGCCTCCCGTTTACACTGGACCTGTGGATCCGTACCCATTTGGGTCTGCTATCTGGACCCATTTGGGATCGCTTTCCAAGGTGTACTCATTTGGATTCGTGCTCGTTTAGGTCTAGTGTAAGACCCCGTTTACACTAGCACGGATCCAAATGGATCCGTACCAATTTGGATCCGTTCTAGTGTAAACGGGGTCTATATCCAAGTGACGAGGAAAATTCACATTTTGTGAACAAAGCAGGAATCTGGGAAGTCCCAAAATTCAATACTGTACATTTTCGAAATCAATATTGCATGTTTTTAAATTAATACTGCACAAAGTGTGTAATACTGCACACTAAAATAGGCCCTGGAAAGAGCATTATCATTCAAGAAAGGAACACGCACAAATTACATAACATAATATAGGCAACATTGGAATAATCCTCCTCCCCCTAAATTATCATCTAATTTGCATCATTTATTAATCATTATGACCGTAAAAATTTGTGTGATCTGCGCAGCTGTTTCTAAATTCCGAAATTTCCAAGCTGTGTTTTGTCGTTCTAACTGTGATAAAATTTAGATCTTACTTCAATCTCTTACTCAAAATGCACTCTTGATAGCTAGGTGATTTAGAAAGTAAAGAATATTTTTCTTTGATAGAAAAGACAGGCCTTAGAAATGCTTTCTTTTCGGAAACAAATGTTTATAGCCAACACCAGAAAAAATAGAGTCATATTTTTTGACTTTGAAAAACAGCCTGAGTCTCAAGGCCTAACATACTAAATGACCCGCTCTCGTAAAAATGATGTTAAGGCATGACACACCCTTTCATCCAGCATGACACGCCCTTTCGTCTGACATGACATGCCCTTTCGTCGGGCATCTAAGCTTCATAACCCCCTAATGAAAATAGGAAGTTTCGCCCCTGAGCCTAGTACTAAACTTTCTTGGAATTTTGGGCATCCTAGCACTAGTTTCCTATAAACCAGTTTCTTATAAGTATAAACCTCTTCTAAATCCTCCTAAAATAGGAATGATGATGTTTCAACGTACAATTTTGTTTCAAATTCAGAGCTGGATTTTAAAGATTATGAAGTCTGTTGATTATTTGAAATCTGAAATGTGCTCTGCTTCTGTAATACAGTTTGGCTGCAACCCCAGCGCGCAGGCTACCCCTGCCCTGCCCCTGTCCTGCCCCTGCTCAGCCCCTGTCCTTCCCTGCCCATACCCTGCCCTTGCACTGCCTCTACCCTGCCATTGCCCTGCCTCTACCCTGCCATTGCCCTGCCCCTGCCCTGCCCCTGCCCTGCCCTGCCCCTGCCCTGTACCTGCCCTGCCCCTGCCCTGTACCTGCCCTGCCCCTGCCCTGCTTCGGGCTTCGGATGGCAAGAGATAAACAATCAGCCTCGTTACCACGCCTCTGAGGACAAAGTTCATCATAACATTTCAAAGAGCAGGCTGCAAACGTGGACAGCTCATTGAATTTTTCTGCAATTTTGAGCTGGTATGCTTGCCAGGAAGGTTGGCGAATCCTGCCTGAAGGTTGGTAACCATCTCATTCATAGCAGAATTCTAATTATGCCAGAATTTTTAGTATGAGCGTTTGTTATTTTTTTAAATAGAGGTAGATATCTACTGTATGGATGCATCCCTCTTGTTAGAAGAAGCCTAGGTGCAGACTTAACAGATAGGAGAAATTAAATAAGACTTTATAACATCCTCTATACGCAGGGGCGGATCCAGATCCTGAGAGGTACATTACTGATTAGCGCCCAGAGCAAACTTGAAGGAGGGGCAGTTGGTAGTGGGGGCGCTGAAAATTTTTCAAAAATTGACGACGTGAGAGCGCCGTATACAACAATTTCAGATCCATTTTCGGAATAAACAACATAACTTTGAAGTAATCCTTGAAGCAAATTAACCTATTGGTCTCAGAAACTTTTTAACCTGATTCTCATTCTTCAAAAGGGGCGCACAATCTCCAAAAAGAGGCGCAGTTACTTGTTTCATCTTGTCGAGAGAGGGGCAACTGCCCCTAGTAACCCCCCTTAAATCCGCCACTGTCTATACGTCTACATGCAGGCAATCGCTATGCATGTGGAAGCTGACTGGAAAATGCTTAGAAAAAGAACTGTGTACTTACTGGCCTGGCAGGCAGTGAAATTGGGCATGCAAACCCCTTCTTCGTGTGTAGATAACAATTCCTAGCCTGTTACATGCAAAGCATAATATCAAATCTTGGGGTCTATGTGTAACTGTTTTTTTCTATGCTGGAATCCTTGCATTCTGTTGTTCACCCAATATCTACTTGTTAAGTAATTTGGTGCTGTCTTTCTTATCTCCAGGTCATGTCAGTGTCTACAAACAGCTCAGGACTGAAGATGACAAACTTGGCAAAGCATTTACCAGCTATTGGGAAGAAATACTCAACATTCAAATATGAAATGTCTCTGCCTCGTTTGCCAGTACCACCCCTGCAGCAAACAATGGACAAATATCTTCTTTCTGTCAAACCTTTATTGACTGAAGATGAGTATGCATGCACTAGGGAGGTTGTTGATGATTTTAGGAAACCAGGTGGTGTCGGAGAGGCACTTCAGGACAAGCTTGTTAGTAGAGCAAATAAAATGGAAAACTGGTTAGCAGAATGGTGGGATGATGTTGCCTACCTTGGCTATGAAAATCCAGTTGTTGTCCATTCAAGCCCTGGCATCTCGTTCCCTAAGATTGCATTTGCATCAAAATTAGACCAACTTAGGTAGGTGTACTCTACTCTGTAAATATATTTTACTCAGACTATTATTATCTTCTTGATTTTATAAATATTTTAATGACCAATATTAAAAGTACATGACTGCCTGTTATCTTTCTTTAGGGTACTCCCAAAAGTTTACTGTGAAACCCTTTTCAGTCATTCCATGGGTTTATTCTCCTATGTAGAGTCATCATATTATGAGGGAGTTATTTCATTTGCTACAGATAGCTTCTAATTCATACATGAGTGAACATTTCAAGTTTGCAAGTTTCTATTTTTTCCTTAACTAGATAATTTTTAATTAGAATTTATAAAGTCATTGTTCTGACTTCTAAAGTCCCAGTCTGCATTCCATGTAGCCACCATAACATTCCAGCTGCACCCATTTGCCTAGATGCAGGAAAATGTGAACATAGCATAATTTTTAGTTAGATAACATAGCATAAGATAACGTAAGATGACATAACATAAGATAGCATAACATAAGATAGCATAACATAACATAACATAACATAACATAACATAACATAACATAACATAACATAACATAACATAACATAACATAACATAACATAACATAACATAACATAACATAACATAACATAACAAAGCAAAGCAAAGCAAAGCAAAGCAAAGCAAAGCAAAGCAAAGCAAAGCAAAGCAAAGCAAAGCAAAGCAAAGGAAAGCAAAGCAAAACAAAACATAACATAACACCATTAACATAACAAACACAAGGGTGCCATCCTAACAAATTAGGAAGAGGGGCTGTGCTGTAGACTGCTTCTAGAGGCCATACCAATAATAACACCCATAGCCACATCTAGTATGCTTGCCTTTGTGTTAAAGATTCTCCATGGTGTATTGAAGTCGCTATTCACAGACTGGTAGTAAACTGATCATGAGTCATGAAAAATCCATAGCATAGTTAACGGTTGCCAACACAGAATTGTCAAACCATACATGTATTCATTTGTTAAGGCGGAGCTGAAGTCCCCCTTAAAGCTCTCTAAATTTTAACAAGGGAGCTGTGTCCCCTCAAGCTCCCTCCATGACAACTCTGACAAAGCATAACATAATAAAATACTGTAGTGTAGGTTTGAAGCCTATTGAAGATTACTAGAAATTACGTTTTTGTTGTTAGTTTGGAGATGGTCTTGAAAAATATTAATAACTTAAAATTGCTTCGACAAAACCAGGGACATTTTTGTCAAACACATATATACTCTAATACATCCCTGGGACATTTGGATAAGAAATATTGCTGGATGGCTAATCTCCCTTGAATATTTGAAGTTGTGAAGATTTTGTTCTTTTATCAAACAGCATGTTGTGATGTATTGGATATCTAAACCTCATTTTTCAAACATCTGATAAGGCCCTATGTTAATTTAATTGAAAATATGATTTTCATTTAAGGTATTGTGCAAAAGCTATAAGGGCTGTTCTTGGATTCAAATCTCTTATTGACAGGTAATATTTGAGCTATTTACACTTTTTTTACTCCTTTGGCAATTTTAATTGCAATTAGATATTTTAGATATTTTAAAGCATACTCACATGTTCCTTTTGCCTTTCTGTAATCTTTGTTTGTTAGAAAGCTTATCAATCATTAGACTTTTGTGTTTCAAATAGCAATTAGATTTAAACATTGAAGGGCATAGTTAATAATTAGCGTGTGTTTATTCTTCATGGTATGAAATTGTATTGAATTTGCTTTTTGGATAGCAAAAGAAAGCAACAGGGTAGTCAGGATGAGAATATCATAGATTTTTAGAACATTTGCAATCCAATGTCTTTATTAATGGATAGTGATCTAACATTGATGGGTTGTTACATTATCTCATCCCACCAGGAAAAAACGCAGTGAATGGTAACAAATCCATGTATAATCCTGATCCATTTTAATCCACATTTAAAATGTATAAACAAGCTTAATTGATTAGATTTCATTTTCAACCAGATTTTTTATATTATGATCAAGTTAGTCTGCCAAGCTTAATTTTTGTTTGGGATGCAACATACACCTCAATTAAATAGTGTAATTCTTAAACCATGGTATTTTTTTCTTGATTATCGTACTAAGCTAAAAATTATTGCTTGTGATTAATGTTATCATATTTTGCAATTATGGTTAAAAAAACCACCTGCTATCTTTATTTTACAGTGAACAGCTTCCAGTTGACATGCAAGGAAAAGACCCAGTGACCATGGTTCAATACAACAAGCTCCTTTCAATATGTCGAATTCCACATCCAACAACAGATTTCACAATAACCACACCAAGTTATCAATCAAGGCATATTATTGTCATGTCTAACAATCAGGTATGCTAGATGACAGGAAATAGATAACTTATTTAGGCAGAATTTGTAAAAAGTTTTGTATGTATCAATTGATGTTAAAAAATTAATTTCATCATATCAGTTTCTAAAGAATGCTCAAGACTATATACATAGCAGTAACTAACAGGTAGTTGATTTCATTTAGTTTGGTAGTTTGCCTTACTATGTTCAGTAAAAAGTACTGGAAATATCAAGCATGCGAATAGAATTGAAAGGTCTATCAATCTGGTGCAGCTAATAGTCCTTTTGTGCCCAAATTTATAACAAAATCCTCTCTGAAAAATATTCTTCCTGAGAGCTTTAACAGGTTCCTATCAGTGATATCTTATTAACGCTTTAAGAAGCAGTGAAGAAGCAAGAAGAAGAAGTAGAATGGTTGCAAGATTCATATGCAATGGGGAGGGGGAAAGAAAGAGAGGGGTGCTCAGGGAAAAGTAACCTCTCTGTTACTTTGTTATGAAGGAAAGAGTTTTGCAGTTATTGCCCCCAGTCCCCCTCCTTTTGAGGGATCTGGAAAGTGAAATTTCCCAAGGGTACATCATTTTATGCATTCCATGAAGATGAAATATTGACTTGGTTTTCATATGTTTTACCTTTATAGCATCTCATAAAAATCAAAGATACTAAAAATCTTATCTTTTTTAAAACCCTAAATCATCTTGCCACTTTTCCTTGAATTTGAACTTTATTTATTAGCTACTTCTGCTTTTTCGTCTTAGGCATTTGAAATGGATGTATACAAAGGTGAAGAGCCTTTATCAGAAACCGAGTTGCTAGGCCAACTAGATGCAATTGATAAAATGTCAAATGCAAGCTCAGATTATCCTTCAATTGGGGTTCTTACAACAGCAGAAAGAAGAATTTGGGGAAAAACATACAGAAAATTGAAAAGAGGTTAGTAGCACATTTTGTTCACCTGATGTATAGAATATCTGTGATGATAGAGCACACAATGTTTTACGCAGATAGGGACTGACTTTACAATAATGCTCTATTGAGATTTGGAGTCTACTTCCATGCTTTATGGTGGCTTACTAGATAGTAATTCTAAAACTTTATTAATATACAAATTGGATTTGCCTTGGACTTGCTAATCTCTAACTCTCTTAAAATTCTTGAGATGAGGTATTGGAGAAGTTTGCAAAAATTTCAGTTCTATTTGTCCAATAATGAAATTTTTGAACATGATCACAACAACCAATTATTACCAGCTCATCCAGAAACATTATGCTATTGAAACTCAGTATAGATTTCATACAATATGTAATAGAAATATTTTGCTGTATTAGAGACAAGTGCAAAAATGTGACTAGGAGTTGAGCGTATTGCATGTATAATATGGAAAATGAACATGGAATCTACCAGACATAATATTGAGATAAACCAAAAATATTTTTTTTTGGTAGTTTACAAGAATTTCTGTAAAATATCTAAGACTTATTTTTTTTAATTAGAAAAAGAAGTATTCATGATACTTTTATACTAATAAACTTCATTTATGTTTTTCATACTCAAGATAGAAAGAGACTAAAAAGCTTTCAATGTGAGAAACATCATAGCTATTATTTAGGGGTTTATAAAAGTTATTCCTATTACAGCATTTTATGTATGATTAACTTAAGACTCTCCCTTTTATTGATAATCTTACTTTCATCTTAATCTCTCTCCTGTCCTTCATCTTTTTAACAAGTTACCTTTTTGCAGATTATATCCATGCAAACAAACACAATTTCTCTCTCTATACCCTATATATCTTCTCATGAGTCACCTTTCTCTCTCTGCAATCCTGTTCTCTGCAGTTGTCAATTTTTCAACGAGCAATTTGAAGAACAAATGAGAACTAATGAATTATTTTTATCTGCTCGAGAAGCTCGAGAATGGAGCAGATAAAACCCATTCAAATCATCATATGATTGCCCTTACACTTTAGAAACTTCTAAGGTTTTCCTTTTGCAACCCGTCTTCTCTAACACGCAATTATTAACCTTTTTGATTGCTCTATTTGTTGGAAAATGGGAAGCCCTACTGTAACGTGCGTACGTCTGGTTTTCAGTTGAAATGATCTGTTTTCTTTGTTGCTTTTGCTGTAAAATGTCTCCTTTCTTGAGGATCTACCGCTGGAGACGTCTTTCGGGCTTTGAGAAAGACATATGACAAATCAAGTGCAGGTACCATTCTCTGTTTCCTGCATTACTCTCATTTCTCCATAAATTTACTCTCTTTTCTCTGCTTTACTTAATCCATGTACCCTATGACTTCCCTTTTGGATATCATTTCAAGTTCTGGTTTCTGCCGCTGCGATGATATATACCAAAACAATATGCTAAATCTTTTGTAGACTTTCATGATTGTAGAATTTTTACAGTTCTAAGTTTGAAATTAAATTAGAGTACACAGGAAAGCTGTTCAACCCTTATCTCAACTGTCCAAGTATCGGTTTAGCAACAACAAAAATAGTCTAAACAGCCTTAACATTTCAACAATAAACTTATGCTGTCGAGAGCAACGAGTTTTTAGTTTTTTGGCTATTTAGTCTGCCTTTTTTAATTGAATCAAAGTTTGGATCATATTTTAATATCGAGATTATTTTTCAGATCCAATTAACCGTGGAAGCTTGGACAGAATAATAAAATCGATATTTGTTCTTTGCCTTGACAAATCTCATGGGCCACCTTCAAACACGCCAACTGTCAGTGAAGATCCAACGTTGACAAATTCAGTAAATCAAATGCTGCACGGAGGAGGATCCTCTCTCAATAGCTGTAATCGTTGGTTTGACAAAGCATTTCAGGTACGACAAGCATGTCTGTTTATTTGACATCGCATTGCGAGTTATCTTGATGTCTCAGAGTTGAACGACATCGTGCAGCCTGTTGAATAGTGACCAACGAAACAAACTTTTAGTATTATCTACAAGGATACCGGAAGGGATAGGGGCACGGCACCCCATAATATTGTTGTATTCGTCGGTATTTCAATCATGGCGTTTCCTTCCGTTTCCTTCAGTTTCCTGTCCCTTGAAGGGTGTGGCATAAAATCCAATCATTGTCTAAACTTCCCTTCACCCCATTCTTGCCTCTTAAATCTATCCCTGATGCTGTTATATATAAAATAAAGACATGAAAAGGAAACAATGTCAACAACACAAGGATTGCATACTAATTCTCAATCCTTCTTTACTTAAAAATTTCTGCGTCTCCTGTCAACGGCAATATTCCTAGTGGTTATTCTTTTCATTGGCACTGATCAGTATTTTGTGTCATTTTCGTAAAAAACTTCCTAGCAATGCGTTTGCAGATTTGCTATTTATGTCGTTGATCTGCAGTATTTCTTGCTTCATAAAATACACCAAAAGTATAGCAACAGGTGTGTATTGATTGCATTGTTTTACAATTCTTTTGATAGCTCATCGTATCAGAAGATGGCCTTGTTGGCTGTAACTACGAACACTCCAGTGCTGAAGGCCCACCCATTCAAACATTATGCAATCACATCATTCGATCATGGTTAGGAAACTTTCAAAAACTCTCCTCTTTTGGACAAAATTTTTTTGTCTTGTGAACGCATGGGTTAATATACATGATATATTTACCTTTGACTTGCGTTTTAGTGCTTTGGTTTTTTTAAAAGTCTAAATTATGAAATAATACTTATCTTTCTACTTTTTAGTCTTTTTGCTTTAAAGCTCATGCTTGCTTAACATTTGGCCATTGTCTTACAAGGCTCATGTAAATGCGTTTTTTAATCCAAATTATATTGGCACGAGGTAATATTTGTTTATTTTTGTAAACATTCTAGTACCTTTGAGGGCGGGGAGACAATAATGCCTGCAAGGACAATTATAGAACCCAAACGATTGCAATGGAAGCTTTCAAAAGAGATGGAAGAGAAAATAGAAGAAGCAAAAGAATCGATTGACCAGTAAGCGTCATTTGCTTTCATTTATCTTTCTACATCATTATCTAATTTTATTGATATCTTTTTTGTCTATTTCTGGTTTTACGCTACCTTTATATGTAACATGCAACTTTCATTCCTATATGTAACATGCAGCTTTCATTCCTATATGTAACATGTAACATGCAGCTTTCATTCCTATATGTTACATGCAGCTTTCATTCCTATATGTAACATGCAGCTTTCATTCCTATATGTAACATGCAGCTTTCATTCCTATATGTAACATGTAGCTTTCATTCCTGCGGAGACTCATGTTTATAAATGAAGTCTTTCTTCTCAGGCTTGTTGATGACGTAGACATGAAAGGAATCAAGTACATGGCCTGTGGAAAGAATGTACCCAAAGCTAACAGAATGAGTCCAGATGCATTTATTCAAATCGGCCTTCAACTGGCTTATTACCGGTATGTTTTTCTTGCAACATGATTAAACGTAATCTATACTTTTTTTAACCTTTTCTTTTTTGTTTTTTACTTATAGTTTTTAAATCCTTTTAAACTCTTAATATTTGATTAGAAAGATAGCCATTTATCACATTCATTCTGTATTTTAATTGCCTAATCTCTGCAATTTTCCAACCGCCACCTTTTCTAATGTAATTGTTAGCAACTGCTGTTACTAAATTGTTTCTTTATTTTCTCTAGGCTACATGGTCAAATGGCCCCAACATATGAAAGTGCTTCCACCAGAAAATTCAGATTGGGAAGAACAGAAACCATCCGTGTAGCATCCCTTGCTGCGAAGGAGTTCTGTGAAGCTATGACGTCAGGCCAATCAAATGTATGCCTGTTAATCTTACATTATCTTTGTTGCTTATGGCAAGCAATTATTAGTCTATCAGTTATGACAATAACTGCTGGGGATAATTCATACATGTATCTGATGGTAACGATAAATATATAAGTAAAGTAACGAAATGTGACTGACTTGTGCAATATATAATCATATGTATATTGCTCGATGCCTTAAAGCAATGCTGTACACTTTTTGGTGTATATGACTGGACAGTTCAAGCTTCAATGTGATCATCAGGCAACAAAGTAAAAGGTCTATTTGTTCCTGGTATATGACACCGAACATGTTTTCTTTAAAAGGTGAATACTCAATACCACTTTGTTTCGTGCCTTTTCATGTTATGTAATGAGGGAACGGGCTTTCCTACGCTTTGCAGACATGAAGCCCTTTGGATCTTGAATATGTCCCGCTGAGCAGAAATATCCCTTTCAATTTCTAAGGAGACCCTTTTTGTACAATTTTATTCCATTATGCAACGATCTGAATAATGATTGATAATAAATTTAAACCAACCCTATTTAATAAATTGAGCATGATCAAACGTTTAAGCAATGTGCCCTTAATTTTCTGGACCTGTCAACTTTCTAAATTCTTTAAAGTCCTTCCGAATTGGACATCTGGCGTCCTGCACCTTTGTTTATGTGTCTGATTTCAAATTGTCTATAGCGAAGGCTATTTCATCAACAGGAAGCATTGAAGAGAGAGTTGTTCATGAAAGCAGTTGCTGGTCACGCAAAGTATACGAAAGAGGTGGGATATTATGAAAATATACAACGTTCTTTCAATCAATGTGCGAGGGACGTTGTTTAGTCGGTAGTGCATGTTAGAATTTTAAACAATACCAGCTAGAAGTTTGTTATCGTTCCTAACAGTATGAAGTAATAGCTAAGTATTAATGTTCGTTAATTGAATGTTCATAACTCGTGTTCAGCACCGTCGATAGGCTGCTAAATTATCATATTGCTCTTAGTAGGATTAAATATTTCAATCTCACTCATTCAATTTTAAATATTTCAAAAATGGCTTTGAAAAAGCAAGCGGCACTGATTAGGCAACCTCAACAGTCATGTGCTCGGGTTTCTGATTGGCCTAGCTCGATCCACAGTTGTGTATATACATTTCCTAGCGCAGAGTTTTCGATCTATGTTCTATACTCTGAAGAGTTTTTACCACGAAAATATTGTTTTCAAATAATTTCCAAACCATTATTTGGCGGTACAGAATTTGAAGATGGCTTTAAAAAAAGCAAACATTTTACATACTTTAGGCTTTTCATCTGTCACTTTGAGTATAAAATGTGATAATACTTATCAAAAACTCTTAGCCAAGAAATATACATATCCTGCTATGGATCGAAATACGTCCAGCTGATAAGCGAGCTAATGACTGTACAGGTTGCTCAATCGATTTTAAATAATTCAGTCCCAACACAATAATAGCAATTTTTATTTACAATTTTGTTTTTTTATTTTCAAGGCAATTAATGGTCAAGGTGTAGACCGTCATTTGCTTGGTTTGAAATTAATTTGCATGGAGTCTGGAATGAAAATACCGGAAATATTCAGAGATAAAGCGTATAATTACAGTTTACACTTCAAATTATCGACCAGTCAGGTGAGAATTTATTCAACTTAATGTTCTTTAATATTTTCATTCTTGATACTCGGGCACGGAAAATTAAACTGCTTACAAGCTCGTCAGTTGATTTTTTGCTGCAAATGTACTTATATGCTTGCTATTTATATTTACCGAATTCTCGATTGTTTATACGTTTTCCCTGTAGGTTAATAATTTGTTGATATTAAACCCTCAAAAATGGTGTTGGCAAGGGCGTCAGATTTTTTCTATATAGTAAATTTTAACTAAATATATAACATTGGCAAAAACCAAGGTCTGTGGATATGAACTACGTAAACACGCGCCTGTACTTTCTAAAATTGATCTTTTTGATTTCTGCATTTTTAAATATGGTAAAAACCTATTTTCCCATTTATAAGAATCGTGTTGCAAATGCATAAGGATAAAATGTATTTTAGGTATTGTAACAAAGTTAAAAATATGCTCCTAATAGCAAGTTAATGATGCTTTAAAGATCATGGACAAATATAAACTATTTCATGCATAAAGCATAAACTTGCACCAATACTGGAGAATGATCGCTCCAGTATTATGTTGAAGATTCTCGATTCCTGGTTGGAGCTGACTGTAAGATCCTTGATTTTTTGGTCGAAGCTTACTTTCAGTTTTCTATCTTATTCTTAGTTCTAAAGATTGACAATGAAGTCCTATGTCCTTCTGTCAGTCGTTTGAATTTCCCAACTGAATTCAAATTTGTCAAACCCTGTTTCGTCGTCTGCCTATTTTTGCTCATTGCTAATTTTTGCTTTTTTTCTTGCCTGTTCCTTCCTGTCTTCCCTTTTATATTATCTTCTTACTATGTTCTTACAAATGTAAGCTTATAATTTTGCCTCTGTGTCAGTGAATAGTCCCACAGGTACAGTAATTGCTATACTGTGTGTTCAATAATTGTTAAGTATAACCGAAGTCTAACCAAGTCCCTTTTCTTTATGATTATATGACCGATATAGCCAGATTTTGTGCATTAAAAAAATCTTCTTTTTAAAGGTACCATCACCGCACGACACTGTTTTGTGTTTTGGTCCCGTCGTTCCGGATGGCTATGGCGTTTGCTATAACCCATTAGAAAAACAACTCAATTTTGCGGTTGCAGCGTTCAATTCCAACCCAGAGACTAATGCGGGTCGCTTCGGAGAATCGTTGAAACAAAGTTTTGATGACATTCAGAAGATCCTATTGCAACCTAAGCTTTGACGAACAGGGCCCTCGGTTTCATTACCTGTAGCATGATGTCATTATAGAATTAAGCGGATGCAAAGTGTCTAGCTAGCTCCTTGTAACTATTTATTGCTTATGCATAATGAATCCTTATAAAGCTTTTTGATGCTGTTTTACAGTATATTTTCCTTCAGTTTCCTGTATGTATGTTGGCATTGCATGTTTTGTCACGTATCGTTTCATTTTCCAGTCTATGTAATTAGTTATGTCTAACTTTATTTCAATTTATGATAAGACCTCAAAGCTAATTTTGGTCCTGAGTGTCTTCATCTTTCATCGCCGCCTACAGGTTTATCTAAAGGACATGGAAAATCCTTGAGATACATTTTGATTCAAGTATCCTAAGGTAGGTTTTTTTTTTGGCATACTTCAAAAACCCTAGAGCACGAGATAATTAGCGCGTTGGTCGTCGGTTTGAGTGCGTTGCTCTTCGCGAGGCCCACAAAAATCATCATTAACAAATAATTTAATTCAGGTGTCTGTTTAAATTCAGTTGTTTTTCACGCAGCTTTCTTGGTGTGTGGATTTTTTTCTAAAAATGATCGAGATTTCTAAAAATGTAAGTCACTCCATAAAAATGACACACATCCTTGGTGGAATTCCTTTTGCTTATCTGAATATCCCAAGAAATCATTTGGTTTTGGTGGAAATCTCGTACGTTGTTCACAAGAGTGAATTGTCTGCAAGATATCGTTCTCGTTGTAGCTCATGGTGTACTACCTGTATAATTAGTCGTTTTAAAAGTATGGGAGTCGTTTTAATCGAAAAATAAAATATCCGGCGTCGTTATGGAAGTGGTCCTTAATGTTTTCAAGTGCCATGTCCCTAAACTCCATCTTTATTGGCCTTTTGATTAAATAATCGCATTTATTTGTAATGAAAATGTCATGCAGCCGTGTTCTACTCCTCTTCCTTTAAGTATAGTAAAAGGAAGAACAGTTTATCACAATTTTGCTGAGGTTCGTTCATTAAAACTAATTTGTTTTATCAACTTTCGTAGAAATTTATTACCTACTCAAAATTTTGTACCAAAAGCTGTCTTGAAAATCCCATTTTTTGGCTTTTGAATGGACCAGAAAGGGATTCTACGTTTGAAACGCGCTTTCAGTGGAAAGGGCGGTGAATCTTCACACCACCTTCGCTATTTGGATCGTTGCCCCTAAAATGTTCGGTTATTTCACTGGTAAGATTCAAAGTTACTCCTAGCACTTTTCAACCTTTTTTCTATTAGAACAGAGGAAGCGTGTCACACGATTCAAAAACGTTTATATCAAGCTATATTGCTTTACAAGCCAGTGAAAGTCTCTTCAGAATCCTCTGGAAAACCCCTCTACAGCTACGTTGTTAACTGCGTCATCAATGTCATTTCGTCATGGTCGTCATCCTCGTCGTTGTCATCCTCGTCGTCGTCGTTCATGTCATTAGGGGTTTTCCGTCGTTCTTGACTAAAACGACTATTTTGTGTCTAACTTGAACTAAAAGATAGGATTTCTGTTGATTGTGTCTTAAAATAAATAGCTATACTTTAATCTTTATCTAACAAGTGATTTGAGTATTTTTTGTTTGTTTTTCATTACGTAATTTCCTTTGGTGAAAACCTTGCGAAAGAACCTAATTTGCATAAGGAATCATATCACACAGTTACACTACATTCTACTGCAAGATGCCAGCGTGCAAAGCCTCCAGATCTTCCAATCTTTCAAAATGGTGCACTCCTAACAGTTCTAATTATGAACTATTCTGCACTATAACGTGAACTAAAAGGCTCCTTTTTTGTCTAAAACGCTTTTTTATTTTGCACTATGCACTAAACTAAAAGGCCTTCTCATTTTGCCCTGAAATCCGATCCCTAGTCATCATATTCTTCTGCGTCGTCGTCATTTACGTAGACGTTATCGTCGTCATCGGCGTCGTCATTCGCCCACCATACCACACCATACGGTCTCGTCTCGTTCCAGTGAACAAGCCTAGCCGGCGTCGCAGACCATATTCTGAAGGAAAATATGGTCTGCGACCCACGCTAGAACAAGCCATGCGGTGTTTGCGGTGTTTACTTTGAACTTTGCACCAGCTCTAATTTCAAAGCTGTATTTAGAGAAAGCTGAATGGTCTGTCTTCTGCGTGATAAGGATTGGCATTGACTGTTCCCCCGTTTCTTAAAAAAGACTCGATTAAAGGTCGTCATTTTATTGAAAAAATGAGGTGAGTTGCTTCTTGTTCTTGACTACGAAACATTCTTGTTGAACTATGCAAAATACAATGCAATGGTCTCTCTCATAAATATAATGCAAAATATATAATATTCTATACTTACCGAGCTACCCTCTTAATCTAATTTTAGAAAGGAAATTGAGCAAACAGATGTTTCTTAGAGAAGATAAATTCTAGATTTGAGAATGAATTTTGAAAGGTCTTTCTTTTGAGTCACTACAGTCTGCAGAGTGGCAAATACCAAGCCTCCAACATCGGTGTTTGGTAGCAGGGCCGTGAAAGGAATAAGGGTGCTCACCAATAAAATTTCTAAAAACACTAGCTGGCACTGTTCTGCATTTACATGGAGGCTGATCCCCTGGCCCTGTAGTCCTGTGGATGCTAAAAAGGTAAGAAATAGAAAGATATTTTTATAGGGTTTGGGCAAGGCTTGTTAAAATCAGGAGTTTTACGCACAGAAACAAGCGATTTAAGATAAATTCATCCATAACATAACGGCGATTACAACTCGAACGAAAACTTAGACGAAGTATCATCTTACAGCTCACAGCATGACAGCGTGCAATAAAAGCGGAAGTAAACGTCATTGTTCGTAACTAAACAATAGCTCTATTTTTTGTATATTCTAACAAGGCTGTCACGCTGGAGGTCAAATTTCAGGTCAAATTTGCTAACAAAGTGGGTGAACCATCGTTTATTTGCCAAAAAGCTTGAAATTTGCTGACAAGGTACTCTTAGATGGCAGAAAACTCCTCATTTTTGCAACAAATTTTTTTCCAAGTCATAACCCCTGCATGCTCCCCTATAGTGACAGCCCTGGATTTTGGTTGTGTTCTTTAGAGCCAATTGTATTATGAAGAGTAATTACTGAAAACAAAGTCCATTAGAGGTTGCATCTAGAGGTAATCGAGAAATAATTTTTGAATAGTAATAAAAAATTATCTCTGTGTGAATTGGCACAAAGGAGAGGACTAATAAAATAAGAGGGGGGGAGGGGTAAAATGGCTGATTTTGATAAGCATTTCAAGATCTTGAGTGCATTTAAACAGCCCTTCACTTCAGGTGCAGGTGTGCAAAAACCATCATAAAACCCCAGGTGTGCCAGCACTATCAGCATTTCATTTTATTATTTAATAGATCTAGTTTTTGGGTGCACCCTTAGCAAAGCCGTTGTTAGGTCGGATGGGCCCTAGGGCATAATCAATGCTGGGCCCCCTAATCTTTTTAACAAAACATTTGCCTGGGGGTTCTTTTCATACAAAAAAGGTACAAAAAGGTGTTACAAATTAAGACAAAATCATCAAAAAATTTAGCTATGTGGAAATTAAAAGTTATTCAATTCCTGACCCCTCTCTCTCTGATTTATTTTGTTCAAATTTTTACAGATTCAAATTCTAAAGTCAATCTTTTTAGCAAGCGTATATTGCTTTCAATATACGACACATCCAAGTCATTCAGTCCTCCCTGGGTCATGATTAAAGCATGATATGTTAAAGCCATGGTTCCTTATTATTTCGACAGACCCACTTTGCTAGCCTTCTTTTGAGATGGTTGAAAAAAAGTTTTAAACATAAACAACACAAAAGTACCTTTAAATACTTCAATATTCAATTTTTGACCTTTTTTGGCCCTTATTGGATAAAGCCTTACCTGCAATGATACATGTCATTGAAAAACAAAAAAATTACTGCCCCGGCTGACCCTCCTATCAGCACTTGGTAAAAAACGTGTTTGGAGATAGTTTGCCCTTCTTACCTTTGTATTTTGTAGCCTCGGAAAGACAGTGCAAGAAGACTCAATGGATATACTGACATGTGATGCAGTCCAGTCAAATATGAATGCATTAATATTGGGGACATTGTGTATTGCCTCCGTAAGTAGTATAATTATTTTATTACATATTCAACACCTCTAGAGACCTGGACATATTCAGGTGTTGCAGTGGGAATTTTTGTCATGGCAAGGAGGCAACTGCTGTGCCCTAAAACACCTACATTTAACTGGTACACTTCTTGTGCTTGGTTGTAGTTTTAAAATAAAAATTGGCTTTATCTGTGTAGCAGAGAAGAGCTCTTGATGGTACCTTTAAAAATTCAACTGTTGGTTGGGAAGGAACACTTTTGTGCATTTGAAATGCTGCACTGTGATTTTTGCAATGTATCATTTTCTTTCTATATTCCATAAATGAAGGAACCATAGTACAATTATTGAACAATTATGGAGGAACCATCTGTTTTTTGAGATGGTAGCAGCTGATACCATTTAATGTGTTTTTTGATTGCTACATCTCTTTGTTGTCAAAATTTGCTTATGAATGAAAACTGAAAGCATGCTTTATATGTATTGCAACAAAGAGGCCATCAGAGGAAGATGTAATTTCTTGTTTTAAGTTTCTCTCCCAAATAGCTAGGTTTTTTCAAGGGTAGGATCAACACAGGGTAGCCTGTCCCTGATTTTGTTGTCTTTGTTTTCCTGCAGATAATATTCTTAACTTTGATGTCATTCTTGGAGCATCGTTCAGCATTCAAGCTGAGTTGCTGCAATGGAAGGCCTGGTCTTGTTGTGTGAGTTATGGAGAGCTTTTCTTTTTTCAATTAGTGTATCACTTTTTCTTTGTAGGGATAGGTAGAGTACAATATAAACTTTCACAAGACAAATAACAAGTTCGGTGACAAAGAAAGACATAGTGAAAGTAGTATTCTAACTTCTATTTATGTGAATCTTTTTTATAATATTAAGAATATTGACTTTCCTGTTTTTGATAAAAGTCTATGAGATTGCAGTGAATTGGCATTCAAGTTAAGACAGTCCATGTAGTTTAGACAAAAATACAAGGTTAGTTGAGACAAAAACTTTCATAACCTCTTAATTTGCGTGATTTGCTTTTATTTGATTCTTCTGATATATGATATTTTAATCATAATTCTTTCATAATCAAATATTCTCCACCTTCAGTTTTGGCATTTGTGACAAGACATCATTGGTAATAGCAGAATTTTTTTTTATATCCCTGTCTCTTGATTTCTATTGCAAGACTTTTAAAGCTCAATTTTGATTACTTTATGATGTTTTAGTCCACTCAATCTTCTGGATGGCTATGAGAACCGTTTGGCTTACTCTTTAGCCTTTGGTGTAACAACCTCCTACTGTATATCAATCATATTCAATGATGCCCAGTCAGTTCTTGGCAGTTCTATTGCAAAGATCATCAAGTCTTCACCTTCATATGTAAATAGTAAGTTCCTGAAAAATTACTTTTGATATTGCCTCCATTGACCTGCCATTACAGAAAGTATCAAGAACATCAACACTTAGAAAAATATATATATAACAGCATGCAACAAAACAAAATTAGGACAAATAAAGATTAGCTAGTTTGGTAAAAGAAAGAGTTGATTTGCTGTTACTAAAACTTTGGTGTATTTGATTTTGAATCAAATTACATTTACATTAAAAAAGAATTGGGAAAACTTTTGAAGACATCGTATACAATAAATTTTGAAAGGCTTCGTAAAACCTTTTGCTATTAAAAAAGTACATACAGTATTTCTATGAATTTTTGCAAAATATTATCTGCCAAAAAATTCAAAAAACATCAGCCATAAACATTCTTAAGGCCTCAAGACCTAAACATGTACGAAGGCAAATGCAACAATTCCCCCTGCAGAAGGTGCCAAGCAAAAGAAGGAACATTTGAACATGCAAATAAGGCAGTGTCAAAAATTCATAGGGAAATTGCCCAAAAATGAAAGTATCTTACATGCAAATAGTACTAAAAAATTTCAAAAATAGAATAATTCATGATATTTAGATTAATTTTTTATCTTAAAAAAGAAAAACAACATTTCCTTTGTTACTGCCTAAAAGAAGAATCTGCATTGATTAGAAAGTCCCTACTCCAAAATGAAGAACGGGGTGTACTTTTTTCTTATTTTATTAGCAAGTATTAGGTAGATACTACAGATATTATTTTTCATTTCTTGGCCAGTTTTTTTGTTTTGATTCCATAACATTCTTGGATCTTTGCAAATTATGTTGTATGACATATTGTATCTATCAGTTAGATGTTACCCTTTATCGTTTCATATGAAAACAGAATAGGTTTCAAGGGAGTAAATGGATACACCAGATATTTTTCCAAAAATGTTGGGAAATTTGATGCATTATGTGAAAAATACAAGGAAGAATTGGTTTTTTTCATTGATTTTGAACGGCAAAACTAAAGAATTGCAAATGTGCAAAGTATGTTTTCTTTTCGCCCAATCACCCTTGATTATATCTTCCAGCATGGGGGAAAACTATGCAAGAAAAACCAAACTCATTTCATGGTTTTGAGTACTTTGGGAGCTCCTAGGGTATCTGAAGCACTCTGGGCCCCTAACCCTATACCTAACCCAATCCTAACCCAACCCTAACCTATACCTAACCCTAACTTTAACCCTAACTCTATCTGGGGCATAGCCCAAGGGGGTGTTTCAATATTTCAAACTTTGAAGATATATCAGTTTATTTAATGAAGAATTTCATCCATCTCTATTCCTGCCTTAAATTGAATGTATATTCTCAAATGTCTCAAGATTTCACTGGAAGAAGCTAGGCCATTTTGTATTTTTCCAACAGTAACATCCGAGGAAAGGTAATTGTAACAACAGTAACAACCTTGATTGTTGTCAGCAAATCTGGGGATCTTCAACGCGCAAAATTTTTTCGTAGCATTGCCCTTACTGAAAAAATTAGTTTATCTGAGTTTGCATTCCTTCAATCAAACCCATTAGGTATATCATTCTGACTGTGAATTATTTCTTTGTTTTTCATTTAGTATTTTTCAAGATGATTGCAACAATTTTGCTAGCAACTGGTGCTTATCCCTTGTTTGTGTGTATTGGTACAAGACATCGTACCCTTGGATCAACTTTTGGCTTTATATTCAGTGCTACTTGGTATGTTTCAATTTTTTATCTGGTCACCCAGGGATTCTTTGAGTTCATTGTTTTGTGTTTTTGTATGACAAATGAAAACTTTTCAGCCCTTAAAAACCTTGAATACTGCAGGTTTCACGCCATAATTTTGTTTATAAATGAACCTTCCGTGAAGCAGAAGTTATCATCTATAAGATTGAACCATACAGCAATTCAAAGTCAAACAACCATCTCTACTGTGATCATAATAACATTGCTGAAAATAAAACATCGACTTTGCCACTTTTGTTTTAATTTTTCGTTTCCTTTTAGGTTTTCCTTATTTTGTTACAAGATATCAAAGCTATTCCGGAACTGCTACGAGGACAAAAAGGTTTCGTATTTTAAATGCTGTTATTATCCTGCTCTATTTTTTAATTACCTTGCGAGATGCAGTGTGTATTTATCTTCAAATTCGTCGTTTTGTCTGCCAGCGTATGTCGGCGCTGGGTTTGGAAGAATCTTTCGAATTACGTCATTTGATTTTGTCTATCATTCTGGATTCATATTTGAGTCTTACCAGTCTCCATGTAGCCTTGTAGAGTAAAGCAGACGATAATGGCAAATAGAATTGTAGATTCAAGTGATCTGTGTTGTCGACTTACAGCCATAGAACGTAGACGACAGAGCGGCTAATAAACAAAGGATCGAAGTTATGGTTTATTTTTGGCAACGATGTTTCTTGTGATTTAATGAATTCTTGCCATTGGAGCCTTTTTCTGTATTAGAAGCCGGTTCACGTTCCCCGTGATAGCAAGTGCGATTTATTTTGCAGGAACTCCTTGCTCTTGTTCTGGCTAAGGAGGTTCCCCAATACATATGCCTGATTTTGCTCATGTTACATTTTTCGCGTGCCATTTTTACATCCATCCGGGCTCGTAGGGTATGTATTTATATTACTTCTTCAAGAACTCGAAAACTCCTTGTAAATTTATCTGAAAGCTGTAAAGATCTTGCAACATTCTTTTTGAATTTTTGAGTTTTATAAACAAGATTTTCATGGCGAACGTATCAGTACCCAGAGACGCCGGAGAGGGGGCGCTGGGGGGGCAACCGCCCCTTTTGCCCTTTGATAGGAGGGCCAGGGGGACCAAAATGCCCTTTCCATGAAAGTGCTCTTTACATCGGCCTTTTATAATTATCAAAGAGATTCATTTGAAATCCTGACAGTAGTGCCTTTGACTTTGGTCCGTTTACTGGTCTTTTTAGTGTTTCCGTAACCAAAATGAAGTGCCACTTCCACGTAAAGACGATTATATGTACAACTATGTGATGGCCCTTTTCAAAAAGCAGCAATACCCCACGTAAGTATCGTTTCTTTTAGGACCAAGAACATTGCTTTTTAACGATCGTTTTGTCACCATTCAGGCGGAAATTATCTTACCGTAGGCTGAAAGCATATATTATACTTTAAGATATCACAAATCACAAATTCATTCTCTGGTTTTTTCCCTGAATATTCCGGCAAAATGTTTCCGCAATTTTTCGGCCTCTATTTTTCGCTGTGCTGAACAATTTCACACTTTCCTCCTACCCTTTTTTGGTCTTAGAATTTAGATATGTTTGTTATAAGCGGTGTCATTTGCGTTGATAAAAAATTTCTGGCATCATACTGCCTATGCTAAAGGCCTTTTTTCCTTCATCAGACTCGATGTCAATTCGCACTCATCTTTGATTGGTTTGCTAACCAAGACTATTAAGAGAAAGTTATATAAATCTGGTATGCCTTGCCTTCTTATTTGCCTTTAAAGTATTCTAATAATAATGACGATGATAATACTATTTACTGTTAGTTTGACAATAGCGTGAACATTAATAAACATTAACATGAAGCAATTACCAGCAATTTTCTGCATTAATATTTGTCAAAATCACGGTTTTGTTATTATTTCTATATCTATTTTTTAATCTCCATATATGAAATTTGATACCTTGGAATTCCGTCTGTAATAGTTCAATCATTGAATAATAGATCAATCATTTTTTGTATATCAGTTACCAAATTAATGATGCTTTGTCTACAAACTCAGAGCGTTTTAACATTTGCACCAAATTTAAACAACATTTGCAAATTATCTTATTATTTTATATTATATTATAATTATTTTAGAATCCTCTCATTAAATTTTTGCAAAATATCTGTTGTGGCATAATTGCATATATGTTGTTACATTGTTGCCTAATTTTTGTCTGTGATTACCTAAGTAGCACAAGCTGTGTGATTTTCTTTACATTACGTATCAACATTGTACATGGAAGGAATGAAGGATTCTCATCAGGCTTGAAAATGGCGGTGTTCAAACTTTTTGCAGTCGATTTTCTCTTCTGATTTTCGTTTCTTACCAAAATGTCTTCTTAGCTTCATTCTAAATTGACGTTCGCCATTTTTTTTACATTTAGAATTTAAGTTTTCAACAAGAGTTGTATGTACGTTTATGGTGTCTTCTGTTGCTGTGTACATGGTAGGGTTTATGTGCTTATGTGCTATGTATTTCTGTTAATGGCACTATGTCCCGACGAATTTCGATGCCCTTTTAGATTCCCTTTGGTTGGAAAATAAATAGGCCATTGTTACGTATTCCAGTTGGCAACGCAAGGGTAATCCTCGATGTTTTCTCAATTAAAATGGTCCTGTATTCAACACTATGTTTTATCCGTCATAAATCCTATTTTCATTATTTTAGTGGTCAGCTTTTGGCAAAAATAGTTTTTCTTTTCGCCTACCCCCTCTGTTAAGTTTGAATTTTCTTAGGGGCTCAGTTGATTGCAAACACAAAGCACCCTTGCTTCTACTGATAGTTCGAAATTCTTTCTGCAAAAGTTCAGCACGTTTTCTTTTTATTTGTAGTTTATAACAAATAAGTTGCGTAAATTTATTTGTGAGTTTCTCTATTCTAAGGCTTCTTATTATAATATGTGGTTAGATAAGACTTGGTTTGAGAAGCTATTTCTCTAAATTTTTTGGGTTTATAGATGATCCTATATGTAAAAAATAATTCTATCAATTATTGGCCAGATCAATCCTAATTGGCCAGAAATTTTGGCTGGAAGTTAACATTTGGATGTTTTTGAAAAGTATTGATAAGATTTCTCTCGGTGCTTCCCTGGTTCTTAAGTCCATGGCCATGACAATATTGTAAAACCTTTCAGTTTATTGCAATCCTTTCTTCAATGAAATCGTTAACACTGTTTATGTTAATCCTTGCTTGGTAGTTAAAATGTGCACAATTTTTCAGCTCACAGTTAATCTTCTTGGAATTGCTTGGATATTACTGGAAACAAAACTCGAGCCGTTGATCGATTCAAGCAACCTCAATCGATTTTTTGGTCAATCCTTTGTCATTGAAGCTCGCAAGCAAGTTAGAATATGGACATGTACGTGTTTCAGTTAATACCTAGCCCCCGCATCCATGAATATTTTTGTATATTCTATCTTCGCGTGGTCATAAACGGACCAGCTCCAAAAATAATATGATTACGTATTTGAAGTAACCAAACTAGGGGTTCGAAAGTACACTCATAATTTACGAAGAATGATTTGAAATGAAATGTAACATCTTATGTTTTCTTGTAGTTTGTTGCTATGTTTCAATCATGGTGTCGACAATAAAGACTTACATTGTTTTTTTAAACATGCTTAGCTGGTACAGGTCGGTTGGCATCTCGTTTTTATCAATACTCCTATTTTTGCGCACAATAAAAGTCTATCTACTTTCTTCTTTTGCAGATTTCCTCTCAAAAATTCAAATGTAATTTCCAAATGGTTACCAGGTTATAACATGTGAACCCTTTTCTAAATAGCTGCAACGATCAAAAACCGTGATCTATCAATTTCTATTTTTTATCTCTCCTCCCTTCCTTCCTTTGATAATACTTGATTTTGTCAGAGTTAGTTGAGGAAATATCAAAAGTTTTAACATATAAAAAAATTAAACATGTGAAATGAACGCCCCCTTGTATTGGAAACGTATCTGAAACATCAAGTCGAATTAGTTAATTTGCTTATGCTATTCATAAAAAATTTAATATTTTCCTTTAGGCGTCATCTGATGAAGCTTCGTGTTGGCGATCGGTCATGGCTGCCAGAGTCAATTAAAAGGCTAAATGACTCACCAGCAAGTCTCGCGGTTGGTCTTTATTGAAGTGTATTTATCAGTTCATGATAAAACCCACCTGCTTATATGTTAGCTATATTTCCCTGCAGGCTCTGATTTTTTAATGCAAGATGCCCGTAACTTGAGGAAAACAGCTTCTACCTAACAAGGTTGCCTGTCATTGGCTGCAAGGGAGAAATAGATTGACACATCTTTGAACCAGTGCTAAGTTTATGTTATGAGATAGAAGATATTTAAGTATGAATAGTTTCAAGCGAACGGCAAGATATTGGGATGGCTCTGTCCGCAAAACTAACCTCTGTAATTATAATGGTATAGTTTTCTCCGTTTATGTCCTTTTTGTTAGTCATATTTAAAATATCTTTTGGTTTATTTATTTCTAAACTGCCATTGAATTCTATATATTCATATATATCTATGTAAAGCTAGAGAAAAGTTGAATTACCAATTAGATGTCAAGCAAACCAAACGAAACGATCAAAATATGTTCTAGATATTTCATTCATGAATTTCCGTGGCCCACTTAAACATTGGGTACCTACTTTTAGCTTAAATGTTGTAGGGCATAATACTAATCTTGTCAAGGTTATGACATAATCAGGCTACACAAAATTGATTTTCAGCAACGTAATTCTTCTGACAACCACCGGCGTAACTTCACGGTCAGTTTCCAAGAACGAATTCTCGGACAGTTACACCGTTTCCTAACTGTCGTCCCAAGAATTCGCCGTAGAGTTTTATTTATGTAGGCTTTCCTTCAAAGTATTTATCAACTTTTATCAAGTGGCTACTCCTAGCAAGTTCTAATTGGAAACGTTTTCATGTTTTTTACAGGATGCAAGTATGAAATATGCTGGTTATCAAGTTGCCTACGTTGCTTGGGGTAAAGCAGTTTCAACTATTTTACACTTCACTGCAGGGCCTAGAATTAGCCTATCTTTCAACAACTTTAATGACAATTTTTATTTTATAAGGCAAAAAGACAAACAGTCGCATTTACTGTGATCTGCAGAACACTTTAATGGGACTTCACCAGCAGTATAGTTTATATATCCAATCTTTTCCGAACTCGAATTGAGGACTACTTGCATAGAACACGTTAAAGAAATATTGGTTCTATTGATGTATTTCTAAGTGGTTGTCAATCTGAACAAGTAGAACTAGGAACAAGTCTAGCTTAACAACATTGATAACATGGCACTGTCTGCCTCTGTGTTTCCCAATATCTGCTTATTGATCGTCAATTGATAACTGTTTTGAACAATAGTTATAAGTACCCAGGGAAAATTTGTGACAAAGAAGAATACCCATGGTGGTGTCATTGCCTGTTAATTGATTCAATTTTTAAACTAAACTGCCTGCAATATTTGGCAACAGAATGCCTATTGTTGATTTTTTTAAAATAAGTTTTCCTTATCAGGTTACTGGATATTTTTAATCGTTTTTTGGCTTCTTCTTGGATTGACATCTTCGCTAATTTTCTATCCACTGTTTCATGGAACATCTTCAGTCCTGATACAAGCATTCTACAAAGTATGGTGTGTATGAAACACAAATTTAACATTTCCTTATTATTAGAATTTAGTGACGCAAAGTTTATTATTTTGATTAGAAAGCTGCTTTTATTCATATTGAATATGTATTTATCGACGTGTATTTCTGTAGCACCTCAAGATATCTTTTATAGCATTGGCTCCAAGAAGAATGTACTGTTTGTTTGTCACTAACCATTTTGATGAACTTTACAATAATCGTTGTTATAATGCTATCATCGTTTTTTGCAGGCCTGCATTGCTTATTACAGTTTGCATTTTCCTTGCGGAAAGGATCACGGCAAGATACTGTTTTCTGTTCAAAAAGGGTAAAATCATAGCAATAACAAACAGGTATTCAATTTACATGTTTGAACCGTTTGATTTACATTTATTATGTTTCAACGATGATACCTAACTGAAGCCACGTTTTGAAATATTTCATTAGCATCTTACAAAGTTTACAGCGCGATGCTAATAATAAATATAAAAAAATTATTTTACAACGATATCCCCCTCTTTAAAAAAGTTCAACTTGAAAAATTCTGAAATTAAGAATATAAAAACAAGAATAATCTTAAATTTAGTAATTTATTAAACCCGAATTTCCATCAAACCAATTATTAGTAATTTAATTCGTAATCAAATAAACCAGATAAAGATATATTACATACATTACACAGCAACCTATCATCGAGCCAGAACTACATTTAAATATGAAAATTTAATAGCATGTAAAATGTTGCTTTTTTGCTTTGTAGGAAAGTGTTTAATATCGTGTCGTATTACTTGTTCTTCTTCAACATATTTCTCGGCTTCCTGTCATGCTTGCTCCGCATTTTGAAAAGTGTTGTTGTTGGAGTAATGTTCCTTGAAAGGGTCCAGAAAAGTATACTTCCAAGTTCCTTTGAAGTTATCGATCCAGGTACCCCACACTTAGCTAATACAAACTTTATTATCTTGTTTCTTTTAAAAACACGATGCATGCAGTGAAATCAGTTGTTATGCATTTTGGTGGCAGTTTCTTATATCTAGGCCACTGTAGTAAAATTTTCTTGACACTGCCCTACCTATGTCAGATATCACAGTTTTTTTGAGATATTTGAAAGTACAAGGCAATTAAATCACGAGAATTAAAATAGGCAGGCTTATTTAGGGTCTTGAAATTCTTATTACACACTGAAATAGCAGAAACAAATAGCGTTATAACATTAGCCACACCCTTCAGATCACTGGAAAAATGATGGAAACGCCCATTTTTAGAATTCAGTTTTTAACTTTGAGATAAAGAAGATAAATAAAGTAAAATCTTGACGTTATTTTGTTACTACTGATTACTAAAAAACGATTTATCAAAGGACAGAGAAATATTGGGGGGAATGTCGCACCCCCTACACCCCCTCCGCTAAATCTGTCCCTGCTTATAGCTAAGTTAGAGCATAGAATGCCGTTCTGTTGCCTGTCTTCTGTATTTCACTATAGAAAGCACTTTTCAGTCTGGGTGTTATCCTTAGAAAGTGGTTTGTGGGACAATTTTTGCAAAATGCTAAACCAATCCATCATGATGTGATGTTTTCTTTCCTAGGTTATTATGCCTATATAGGCTGCATACACATTGAGCATACACTTGCCAACCCTGTTTTGAGAGTATTCTTGGATATTTTGAATGAATCGGTTGACTGCAAGACGTCATCCAATGCAGGTAGGATGAAGCTAGTACTTTTAAGTTTGTGACATAGGGCTGGTCTACCAGCTACTGAGATGTTCTTGTTGCACTAGCTGCCCTTAACCGAATGTTTTTAGAAGTTATGAACGGGTTTGATTCGTCCTTCACTCGGTCACAATTGAAACATTTACAGTATAGGTATCATTTGTTAAAAATCGTCCTTTTTTACACTCTATTCTCTATTCTGCTTATTTCAGAAAATATCGGAAATTTTCGCTCCAACAGCCGCCAGTCATTATTAGGGGACAATGAATGTGGCATTGCATTGGAGACAGAAAGGTATCGGATTATACGGAACAAATGGAATCTTGCATACACCTTGATAAAAAATCCGTCGTTGCTACAGTTCAGAAAAAACAAAACGAATAAGCGACCCAGTGTCGAGTCAGAGTACAGAGGCTCGGTGTCTTGTTGAGTGCAAGCACAAATAGACAGTGCAGTTTATTGCTAGTTGCTGAGGTTTCCTCGGAAGTGCAGAAAGTTACTCGGAAGGGTAGAAGTTATCATGCATTGAATGGGAGGAGGGACATGTTACATTAATATCCGATGAAGAATGAATTGCAGGCTTATATTATTACAGGCTTATATCACATCCTATTACAGGCTTATATCAAGTATACATTTTTTTATCACATATCTGTAATTGATTGTACATGAGGTATTTTTAAACGGAGAAATTTATTTTTATTTGTTTTAAAAAGAAGAGCTATAGAGATTTTTATACGTATGTGATATATGTTGTGATAAATGATTTTATTGTTGATTTTAGTATTCCGAAATAGAGCATTAGATG